GGAGGTAAAACATTAAAACTAAACCTCAGTTTTCTTATTTGTTTACAAAAGATTGAATTAGTTTTTCACAACTATTATGGCATACGAATCATTCACATTCTGTGTTGCCAATGGGCAGGAAATTTCCCGCATTTCGGGAAATCCGAAGGCATTCGGGATTTATGGTGGGAGAAATCATTTTCCGGGAAGTACCTATGCATGAAATCGTGTATGTCCATGAGGATCAAGAATGGAACTTTTGCAAATGCGGAAAACTACATTGTTACATGGTTTGATCGTCTCATCCAGTGGGAACTCTATCTCTTACATTGGGTGATAAACCCACCATTTCATCAAAAATTCAAATTCTGTCTTGTGGAACGATCCAATTGATGAACATGTGTAATATGAAACCGTAGATTCACAGATGAAACAAATTCTACGCTCTTTAAATAGTTTGTCTACTGTGTTTTATGTTTGTGAATTTTTATACGAATTTTAAAATTTGAAAAGATAATGTAAATTTTGATTTCAGGCGTCATATTATCATTAAAATTAGAATAACTTCTGTCCATTTCTATTATGCGTACCTTTATTATTCATGATTTTTCGAAACAAATTCCTTGATGGATTATTCAATAAATTTTAATGTGGCGGGAAAAAATGTGGGATTTTGACAGTTCCTATGTTGGCGACACTGTTCACATTATAATGTGCAATGCACAAAAAAATGCAGCGAGAGACGAAGGAATACGATTTTTCAGGTAGGTACATTGTGATCTAAAGTACTATAGCCACTCACATATAGTTTTCATTTTGAAATTTTGTCATTTCTCATTGGAGCCCCTTCTGCAATAGGAGCTAAATAGACCCGTGAAGTTTCTAAAAAAAGGCAAGAAGATTGATGTATTCATGCAATTAAACGGAAGAATTGGTCTGACCTGACATGCTGTTGTAAAAAGGTCCACTCTTCTATTGCAGAAGCGGCAGCCTGCAGAAGTAATTCTGATGAGAAACGACAACATTCCATAATGAAAACTATGTGAAACGTGAGATTACTATTTAACTGAAAAATCATATTCCTTCCTCTCACGCTGCATAATTTGTGCATTGTACAACAGCACAATGTGATGGATGGCATGCAAATAATGAATAGCCCAAAAAACACGATTTCATGGTTCGTATGCCAAAATATTCATTATCATTTGATTCCTTCGTTGAAAAATAACTAAAGTAAGGTTGCGTTTCATGATTTACAAAACAGTGAGGTTGTGTTTCAATGTTTTACCTCCATGGTCGGTTGCACGCGAACTATTGAGCAGAAGCATATTCAGGCGAGCAACTTGACTGAAGTATTGATTGACCAGTTTGAATTCGGAATATAACCACAATAACAACGGTCTACGTCTGTAGCCTACTATTCGTGACTCTCGGAGCCCCAATATATAAATTCAACCTCTATCATCTATTCGCGAAAATCTCTGTACGAAAATCATGAAGTGTGCGGCCTCTGGTGGCTAACTGTACAAGTCTTGCGAGTATGAAGTATGAACAACAAATATGGCGACCATTGTTTCGAATTTCATAAATATGTGTTTTATTTGAAAATAATTTATTTGTTGAAGTGCATATTCCAGATGAACTTTTATTGTTTACAATGAAGAAACCAGTACCTACCTTATAATAATATAATATGGTGACTAACCTACTATTCTTTGATAATATACATTTTCTGAAGCACAATTAGAATCATTGTATGGATGTTGGTTGTGATGATTCGATCTTGAGAATAACTTCAAGTCCTCAATTGCTGGAGATCCTTGTTTATGTAAATCGATGATATTGTTCATTCTGAGCAGCCTCTCCAACCATATTTTCTTTCCTAACCCCTTCACTAGAATTCCATCTCCTTCATAAAAGCCAGTGATATTTCTTGATGAATTCAATTATTTCTTCATACCTATACCATATTGTTGTAATAGCTGATTGCTTGTATGGTTCCATTCCAGTCCATGCAAGTGTTGAGTGGACCATTCCGATCGTTCCATATGTTTGAAAACTGTGGGATTGTAGTGTGATATCAATGATGAATACCACCATTGTCCACATCAAAATGATAATTTCTCTGCACAAAAAGTAATTTTTTCCATACTGGAAACCTTGTACGTATTTCAAGAGGTCAACTTATTATTAACTATTTTGCAAAATGATTTGGAAATAACCAATTTGCAATGAGTGCATACGGCAATGTTTTTGTTGTTCATACTCAAGGCTATTTAACTCTATAAGGTTGCCTCATATTGACCTGGTCTGACGTCACTGTTTCCCCATTGTCTTTTGTCGAACGGCAAAATGAAAATGGCGGAGGTGAAAAACAAAACAAAAAATTTAGCTTTGTGCAATCAAGTAAATTTTGATAAATTTTGAAGTTTTCCAATCTGTTTTTGTATCCACGAGATTGTTCACTGTTATTTTCCCAAAACATGCAGCAAGTACAGAAGACTGAAAACAGAAATCTAGAAAGATATGTTCCTCAGTGCTGCTGTTGTACAGACACATTACAGAAACTCAGTCAGATTCTTATTGCAATATCACTCCATCAGGACTGATTACTGTTGGCATTCAAGGATATGGAGGTTGAGCTACTGATGAAGCATTTTTTAATAAGGAAAATGTTATTGGGAAGTCTGAACCTAATGATGGAATCGGATAAGGGCATGCTGACAAGGGATGTGAAGAAAAATGCTTGAAATTGATAAGGCCATCATTTCTGAGAAACCAGAAACAATTAACTAAAGAGGATTTCCTTCTGGATAAATTGAATGATTCTAATACTCAATAGTTTTATTTCAGTATCAATTTGAAACATTATTGTTTGAAAATGAAATAATAAGAAAATAAATCAATAAAGAAGTCATCACAATTCATTCCATTTTATTAATGCAATAAAAGTGCAACATAATGAAAATATCTTCAAGATATCTTCCTCAGATTAACACAAAATTTTTCATAAAATTAACTGAAATTTGTATGTAAGTTTTGGAGAAAGAAGAATTATACAATAAAATTAGTTTCTTTCAAGTTCATTAGGGACATTTTAGGACCATTATTCCCAACTGAATTTATCCATAGTAAGTAGTTGCGTTTTATTAATCCGATTCCGCCACCAGAATCAGTTCAATGTGTCGTTTTATTTGCAACTTTTTCGATTCCGGTTGCTACTTTTCATACCGTCTCACTATAAGGTATGGCGTGAATGACGTGTCAAGAAATATAAAATTAGATTGAAGAAAAACGAAATTTTTTAAAGTAAAAGACATTTGAAAGACATTTTTATCGTGAGTTTCACTAGTTCATGATTATTTCAAGTAAGACAGGTTTAATAATATATGTTCATTCCCAGATGAAATGAATTCTCTCAATATCAGAGAAGTTCCTTTAATCACCACAATCACTGCTCCAAATATCAGTCGATTCATTTTCTAGAATCTCAACTCTAGTATCATGATTTTCAAACTATTTGGTGCCCCAATATATGAATATAACCTCTTATGTGAATTCTCCCATGCAATGTCATGAAGTTTCTCGTTTTACTTGTAAAAGTCATTCTGTTCCCACCACCGCTACCAGAATGGGACAAATAAAACGCAACTAGGGTGTCTCTCTTCCAACTTCACAATTTTTATACCATCTATCAAGAAATGGCATTGTTCCACAAAATGTTCTGGACCTTTACCTACAATTTTGAGAAAATAATTAAAGCTGAATGTTATACACATTATTTAACAAACCTCTATGTGAGGACCTCAGTAAGGACATTTCTTTCAATTATTTCCATGGTCTTCCTTCCTGAAAAATAATTTCATATGGAGAAAATCCTAACCATGGAACATATTGGGACACAAATTTGCTAGCAAATTTGTTTGCATGATTTGAAATTCAATATTATTCTCAATGAACATTTTGAAAGAGCTTTGGATTCATATTCAACTCCATGCTGAACAAATTTATTCGAAAAATCCTTTGGAAAGAAGAAGTTGATTGCCTTTTTTCCCAAGTCTCCTTGCTACATGTAAAAATGAAGTAGCAAGTATAACCCAAAATTATTCAAAATTAATGAAAGTAGGTATACAGTTTTCATGATATGGTATGTTAAAATTTAATAAACTCATCTGTGTTCCTGAGTACCATGCAATAGCTATAGTTGTTTACATTGAGTTCATTGGCTTCCAAACAGAAAACAAAATAGTCTGATATACCCTGTAAAATTAACTTGAATTATATAAAAGGAGAGTGATTTTAGGGGGTCACTTTCCTTCTTTTATTAAGTGGGTAGCAGAACTATTGAAATGGTTTTGCTGTATAATAGATCTTTGATTCATCTACTCTCTTTTTTAAGAACAGATGATTGTAAACACAGGCATTTTATAACATTTGTTTGTTCTATACATGTTCTATATCCACTCTTGATTCCACATAATATTATGATGTGACCAGCCTTGAATAATACTACACCATATTATTATACAACCTCTCACCCTCTTTCAAAGATATCTTCAGTCTACTTGTCACCATGTTTTCAACTAAAGTCTTAAAATTCGCGATTCTTTCGAATTCAAATTCAAAAATTTCTTCAATCCATTCGACAGTGATACAAAACGAAATCTACAATCACGTGGCGGGGAAACAGTGACGTCACGCCCCTCCGCGCACCCCCGCACCATAATGCTATACTATGAGGTAACCTTATAGAAGTTAATAGACCTTGGTTCATACTCAGTTGGAAATTTGACATTGATTTGACATATAATAGAGCCATCTATTGGTTCGTGATTTTCGCGAATTCTCTCAATCCCTCATGCTAGGTCATGAAGATTGTCGTTTTATTCGCAAACGTCTAAACGTCATTCTGTTTCTACCACCGTTACCAGAACCAGAATGGAACAAATAAAACGCAACAACTGTCTTTGTTTTATGACGTTGTTGTCACGTGGTTGTCACTTGTCAGTTGTGGCAGTTGTTTTTGTTGTTGAGTTGTGGTGTCAACTTATAACTTATAAACATTTCAGTTGTGTAGTTGGAGTTGGGTTTGAACCATCTCTAGCCAAAAATAAAATGTGAAATATTCTTTTCGTTAATGAAATCCAGAATAAAAAAAATCAGTGTAATCACTACTATCTAGTTCAGCATAATATTAGTTTAGTATCAGCAAATTTGACTTTTCAGCTTCTACTATGAATATTGTTTCAAGAGTAACCAACAAGTTACCTAATATTCAAATTCTTTCAAAAAACATCAAATTCAAATTGTATTCCCAGGCGGATCTCCAGGTGGCAAGTAAGTTTGCATATCAATCTACTCAAAATACTACATCTTAACTACAATATAATAATAGATAATCTTAACTAATAACTAGTAATGATTTTTTTGAATTTTACAGAACATCTAAAAAAACCTCCACATTATCTTGATTTTTGTAAAGAGTTCACAGATGGTGGAGACTCTGAATTATTACAACAAAACATGATCAATAGCATGACAGTGCATAATGACTTTCTCAGTGAAAATGAGGAGCAATCAATTTTAGATGAAATAGAGCCATACATGAAGAGATTGCATTATGAATTTGATCATTGGGATGATGTAAGTTATAAAAAAGAGCATCAATTGAAATGTTTTGAAGTGTATAATCATTGAAGGCCATACATGGTTATAGAGAAACAGAAAGACTGAAATGGAATGAGCAGAACACAAAAATTATTGATAGGGTTCGCAGAATAGCCTTTCCACCTAATGTAGCCCAATTGAAATTTGTACATATTCTAGATTTAGAGAAGAATGGTTATATCAAACCCCATATAGATGCAGTGAGGGTGAGTGAGATTCAGGAAATCCTTCTTGGTATGATTTTATGTTGCATTGTTTTTTCCAGTTTTGTGGTGATACCATTGCTGGATTAAGCCTACTTTCTGATAGTGTAATGAGACTGGTTCATGATAAGAATAAGACATTATATGCTGATATCTTGATCAAGAGGAGATCTTTATATATAATGAAAGATAGTGCCCGTTTTGATTATACACATGAAATTCTAAACAATGAGAACAGTATTTTCAAAGGAGAAAGAGTATTGAAGGAGAGAAGAATATCTGTGATTTGTAGAAATGAACCAGATCCTGGAAAGAAGAATTCATGAACATTTGATTTACTATGACAGTATTATCAAAGAACTGAAAAAAAAAATAAAATTATTATCAGAATATAATTCTTTTATCTGAGTTTTATTATTCTAAGATTCAAATACTTATCAGAGTACTTATTATTTGATCCAGTACAAAGAATAATCTATGACCTATAGAGTCTACAATAATCACATACATAGAAGTTAATATTACCAAATAATCCAATACCTGTAGAATCAAATACTGAATACCTAGTTTTGTGACAGAATTACAGATTTCCCTTTGTACTAGAGTACCCTATACGCTATAGGCGTTTTTTTTTGTTTTTTTTTTTTTAATTGACTCGTCCGTTACTTGATGGAAATCCATGATAAATGTAAAAACTTCACAAACGATAAGATTTCCACAAAATTTTTACACCTATAGGCGTTTTCGGAAACTTACTCTGGGTTGATGATCCAGATAGGTCACGTGACAAAACACTCGGATCATCTACTCCTGTTCAACGTTTACGAACGTGTCAGGTTAGGAACACTGAATATTATATTTTTCTGAGGTTTCATGAATTTGACAAACGAAAATGGTCACATTATATTTAAGTAATTATTTGATCTGATTACAAATATTTATATTTACCTGTGGATTGGTGTACTTGTCTCATATGTAATGTTGCACATAACCACAAACTTCACCCCTGCCCAAATTCTCTTCTCAATGAATTACTTTACTCGGTTTGGGTGACCGAACGTTCAGGTTAGGGATCCGAACAATCCGAGTAAGTTTCCGAAAACGCCTCTTCACTATTATTTACTAGCACCAGCATGCTGTTGTTATTGTCATTTCAAATTCACGGGAATCAATGTTACCAGGTGGCGCTAGGTAGTCTTGTGTAGTTCGCGAACGAACTAGTTCGAAAGAGCGCTCCCCGAGGTGAACTACGCGAACTAGTTCGTTGTCAATCTGGGTTTCAGTTCGTTAGTTCACTGAAAAATGCAGCAAACGTTGACCGACCAGACCGAGACCGACCGATCATCTCTCTGTCACTGCCGAGCGTGCGAGCGTCGAGCGAGAGGACCGAGACTTGCATCAAATGAACAAGCGATTCAGCGATTGGGATCGTGTAATGCGAACCGCTCAACTTCCCGGCCGGTCACTTTTGTCATTTCACAGCGTTCGCAGTTCGTAGTTCGTAGTAGAATCGTTCTGCGACTGCGATGCGATCCATGCTCTCGCGTAAACAGGTAAAAGAGCAGTGATGCCAATGTGCGCGTAATTACTGCATTTGCACGTATTGGCATCGTCATGCAGTAAAAATGCAGTAATGACATTTTGTGTGGATTCTGCACGGATTCACTGGTCTTGTACGGATTCTGCACGTATTTTCCATTATAATCGTTGCCATCTGCTTTTGGAGGTTTTGAAGTGAGAAATTGACAATATTTTTTTTTTTTTAGTTTCTAGTGTGCACCACTGTGCAGTGTTGCAATGTGGTACGTGAATGAAAAATTCTTCCGTGTTCCGTGTTTCTGTGATCTGTCGATCTGTGGCCCATGGAACACAGTTCAATTTATGTGTGTCAATACTGTCAATGTCAATAATCACTCATTACTCAATAGTGTCAATATTGTCAATAGTGTCAATGTCGATTTATTTATTCTATATTCTAGAAAGAACAGCACTAACAGGATATAATAATATTCAGCCACGTGATAAAATTTCCCGCAGATGTCTACGCATACGGTTAACTTTATTGCTTTCTACCTTTACTAGGTGTCGCCAACGCATAGCTTATTTTGAGGTTATCTCAAGTCGATTTTTTTTCACAGAAATCATTGGTATATCATCAAATAGCCATAGATTAAATTAATCTATGAAATAGCAAAACAAAGTTAATAATTGAAGGATACCATAACGCCTTCCTTTTTTTATATTCGATTTTTATCTACGAAAAATGCGCGGATTTTGTACGGATTCTTGATATTATTGCAGTAATTTGCGCGGATTTTGAAGCCTGCATGTCAGTATTCAGCCTATAATCCATTGGCAACACTGTAAAAGAGTCTCTAGTATCTCTACGCTGCGGTCGTTACGTGTCTGCGCGCCGCGCGGCGATCGGCGAACGAAACGAACTAATGAACTAGAAGAGTGAACTAGTTCGCCAATGGAGAACGAACTAAATTGAGCGATCTCTGAAGTGAACTAAAATGCCCAACACTAGCGCTAGGTTTTCATCTTTCCATGTCAAAGCCAAGTCAAAACTGGGGGAAAACAAACTCAATCCCATTAGCTTGTGTACTGATAAGAGTGATAACAAGTTTGACAACTACAGCTACAGCAAGATGTATGCAATGTAGTCTATGCACTTTATCCATAGACAACAGTTTGTTTTCCCCTGTTTGAAGTTCGTATTATGTAACCTAGATGTCGCCCACTTCGTGGATCTCACGAAATGTAACCTATAGATGTCGCCCACTTCGTGAATCTCGCGAATAACTTTAAACAGGTGTCAGCTGTAATGAATGCGAGATCAACAGGGGCAGGCCGCAGAGACGATGTCCAAGAAACTGTTTCAAATCGAATGAGAAATGAAAATATCATCAATTTTACGATTTAATCTGCCATTAATAAATAGTTAACACTTCACTTAACAAGATCGGATAGTTGTCTGATTTTGTAGCATCCATTCCACCCCTCTTTCACCCTCTTCTCAATATAATTCAAATTCCAACTTAGAGAAGCTATCTGAACAAGATCAGATAGTTGTCTGATTTTGTAGCATCCATTCCACCCCTCTTTCACCTCAATATAATTCAAATTCCAACTTTATTGTGGTCAGGAATTAATTTTTGCAATATTTTTCAATTGAAACAGATGTCAAATAGCTTCCTGAACTCGATCAGATAGAGTTGTCTTATTTTGTAGCATCCATTCGACCCCTCATCATTCGTCCCAGGGACATTCACTTTCCGACAAAAAGGACATCCCAAAGGGATGTCCTTCTGGTACGGCCCTGGGATTTACCAAGTACGAAGAAAGGATATCCCTAGAACGTCCCAAGGATATTCCAGGGACATCCCTTCGACAAAAGAAAAAATATGTAGGTCAAGTACGGATTGATCCCAGGACCTTTAGCTTATCAGACACGCACCTTACTCCATTGGCTAGCTAATATGCCATCTGTATATTTATGTACTAAACAGATTTATAAACAGAAAAAAATTGAAACCTGAATGAAAATACAACTTTGTAAGGATTTCATGTATAATTATTATCATTCTTGGGTGTTTAAAAAAAGAGGGGCATTATGCATTTACGATTTCTGTTTGCGAAAAATGGTCATTTCTTGAGAAGTTTTTTTTTCATCGCTTGGAGCGCACGAAAGGGAATCTCTATAAGACAGGACAAAATTCTTACAGTCGACTCCACAATCTTACAGGGACATGTTTCGAAGCTTTAAAGTTTCATCATCAGCGTTATTGTTACATAGGAGTACTGTTCTGGAGGAAAAAAAGTTATGTTCACATATTTTATATTATTGAAAAATGTTTAAGAAAAATTATAAAAAAGTTAAATGGGGACCGCAATTATTGCGGAACCCCTTTGTTAGGGAACTTTAAATATCATGTTAAGTAGTATTCAGATAAAAATCGACAAAAGTATCATCTGTCCATGCCGAACTCTTAAGAAGACAAAAAAAAATGAGTTCGGCATGGACATCAGATAATACTTTTGTCGATTTTTATCTGAATACTACTTAACATGATATTTAAAGTTCCATAACAAAGGGGTTCCGCAATAATTGCGGTCCCCATTTCACTTTTTTATAATTTTTCTTAAACATTTTTCAATAATATATATATGTGAACATAACTTTTTTCCTACAGAACAGTACTCCTATGTAACAATAACGCTGATGATGAAGCTTTAAAGCTTCGAAACATGTCCCTGTAAGATTGCTTACAATAAAGTATAACTTTGGTGGAGTCGCCTGTAAGAATTTTGTCCTGTCCTATTGCCTTCACTTCACTGTAAGATGGATCGCTTCAGATGTTTGAATCCCTATAATGTTCAAAGAACATCGTGCGTTCCTAGGGAGGATAGGGATAGGAGGTAGGTATTGGAATTTTTTTTGAACTTCTGGAGATTATATGTTGTTGGGAATACTTCCTCAGGCAATGAATTCCAGAGCCTAGCCGTTCTATGGATGAAGGAGTCTTGATAAAGTGCTGTTCGACATCTTTCGAGGTTGACAACGAAAGGATATACCGACTATATCAGCAGTATGACTCACACTGTATGCTGCATATAATGATTTTGGGGTATAGGCAATAACAGAATGAAAATATATATAGAGAACTGTTTAATAGTGATACAAATATATTTACATTTTTTTTCGATTCGTAAATAGGTTATCAAAACTAGTAAAAATAATATATCACAAAAACATAATCCATTTCAAGATACGCCTGTTCTCGAGATCTGTTCTAGAAATGGAATGAAAGTATTATCGATGTGGTCATGAAAAATGTATATGAAAAATAAAATGAGTACGTATAACATATATAAACTGATGGGAAAATGAAGCATAATGGGAAAAATGTAATTTTTTCCAAATAAAAAAAAATGGTGGACAGATTGAAACCGCTAGTAAAAACATCTTGCAAACATTTCATCAAAACACATCAAACAATCACAATATGCCATCAAAAGAAATCCAGAATTCTAGTAAAAGGGAAAGTGGAAAAAAGTACATATTCCTCTTATTCCTGATGAATTTTTCTTATAACATGGAGTAATTAATTCACCTAGACTTCTCTCTATAAATAAAAATATTAGTAAAATATTCCAATATACCTGTAATAAGGCCAAATCAGACGATTTACCCCAAAATATCACTGTGATAAAATTTCACTATTAGAAATCCTAAAAGAAGAATTCAATCGATTTTTAGTGACAACTAATTTTGAATAGTGCTTGAAAATGAAGAATATTAGCTTTGGATGTTCCAAGAACGAATATGCTCCCATTTTCATCATAAAAATGTTTGGAGA